GGAGAAATCCGGATAATTGGCCTGATTTTCCAGATGATTACAGGTTTGTTTGATCGATTATGAAGCCTTTTTTGTTTGGATGAATCGTACTTGATTTTGCCTAAAATGTTGAAGAAGATTGAATTTTTCTGTCTTTTTTCTTGAATTACAGATGGGTACGGAGCGTTTTTGTTTTAATTGCCCTTTCAATAATTTTATAATGATCTTAGAGAGATAAAGCTTGGCGTTCAGTTCACACTACTAAATTACAAAGTGAGTTATAGCCCATTGAATCAGTTCAAAAGAGAGATAAAAAGATACTGAATCAATGGTAGTTGTTACTTTCTCACCTTTAACACTATTTAACCATTATTTCTATTGTACATTCGAGAAAATCCGTACTTCTTTAGAGATTTTCAACATTGTTATCGCAAAGAATACAATGAGTGCTATCCCTTCTTCCCGTTGATAATGAAATTTTTTTCTGATTTTGTGTGCGCAGGGATGTTGTATTAAAATACAGTGATCAGATGAGGTTGCTTGCTCAAAAGCTTTTAAAGATTATATCTGAAAGTCTTGGCTTGCCATCTGCGTATATCCAAGAGGCGATTGGTGAACCTTCTCAGAATATTACTATAAGTTTTTATCCCCTATGCCCACAACCAGAACTTACTCTTGGTTTGCAAGCGCATTCGGATATGGGTGCAATTACCCTTCTTGTACAAGACGATGTTGGGGGTCTTCAAGTCTTAAATGATGGGGACTGGATAACTGTGGAACCTTTACCAGATGCCATTGTTGTGAATCTCAGTGATCAGACTGAGGTAACTTGTTCGCCTGTCCATCCCATTTTGGATTTTGTTAATACAGAATTGTTATCGGGTTTTGTTTCTTTTTTTCTTTTGGTTGTTGTATCTTCAATAATGGTACAAACAAGTGAAAAACTATGTATCAATCATGCTTTAATTTCTCTGTAAAAGGCCGTAAGACATAGATGTTGCTAAAGTAAATTTTTTGCATTTTTTCTTAAACTTATATTTTTATTCCTTAAATCAACGGTAATGTCCTATGTTTAAAGTGATCTGTATTTTGAGAAGATAGATGACAGAGTCTTACTTGACCCCTCATCAAGGTGGGTGAAGTTAGCAAAACAAGCTAAGATATATTGATTTGATTAGGAATTCAAATTCCAGTGCATTGAAAAAATAAAAAACAAATCAAAACAAAACAAAAAAAAAGAGCTATGTTGGCTAAGTAGTGGAATATTTCTGACACCAATTTGTTTTCACAGCCTGAAAAGAATGCCTAGGGCAATGTTGTCTTTTAGAATGTGGAGTAAGGTTTGATTTGAGATGCTTAAGAGATTACAAAATGCCTATAAGAAATTTACCCTGTAATATAGCAATCCAAAAGAGTGTTTTCATCTGGTGACAGATGAAGTAAGCTTGAAGTTGAGTCAAATTATCCTCCAAAACAAGTAAGCTTGAAGTTGGCACAACAATAGGTCTCGATATTATGAATGTCAGGATTTTGTATAGGCTTTGCTGTGGGGCACTAGCATTGACCTTGTGAGGCTCTAGCATGACAAGGAATGTATTTTGAAGGAAATTTATGATGAGGTTCATGGAGGTGGTGGGTGTAATGTAGTGGGTTAGGGAGTGTGTCTTAAGTTATTTCCTGGGTCCTCCAGGAAACTAGGCTTTCTCATGGGCGAAGGCTGACCTAGCTCAACCTGGTCACTTCCTACCAAGTTTCAGATTCATACCGATGGTGAATCCCTTAACAAGGCGAAATGGGCAGCTATATCACGTACAAACTAGTTAATTTGCAAGTATTTATAGGGATATCCAATTTGTCTTGAATTTATGACAGGGATATCCTTGACCCTTGTAGCCATACAATGCTGATCTATGGTGTGTATGCTTTATATGCTAAATAAATATGATTTTGGCTTCCTCTGAGTTCGTCAAGGAGTGAAAATCATAGCTTGTCTGGCCTTCCTTGAGAAAGTTTTTTGTCCTGGTCAAAGTCTATGAAAGGATTCTTCTTCATGAATAACAAGAACTCCATCCAACAGGTTTTTGTTCGTAAGGAACCCAAAATTGGCCATGTGTCCATGTCTAACATCTTAGTTTAGCTTTATATAGAATCATTACCCGTAAGTACTTCAGGGAATATGTGTATCACTCGTAATCTGTCTTTTGGCAAGGGATACTCTAATCGTCAAATACAGCTTGCAATAGGTCTCTTATCCTGAATTGAATTCTAGATGCATGTCACATGTTCCTCCTCCATGTGTGAGCTAGCAGATCTTTGATAGAACTTAAGTTAAATGCAATTATAAAAAATGGAACTAGAGAATTACATACTTCAAGACACTAAACTTGAAGTTACCATCTCAGCTTATAATAGAAACAAATTTTCATATATTTATGGGGTATATTAGCCGTAGCTAAGTAAGCGCATTTTATACTGATAGGAGTATTACAAACTGGGGCTGCACCAAATTTAGGAGACTCCATCACACGATATTTGAGTTCTTTAAGAAAGCTACCTAAAATTACTTTGGGTAAACATTAAAGCACAAGACAAGGTAATGGAGGGATTACTGATGATATTGTTTTGTGAAGACCAGCCATCTTCATAGTCGTCAACATAATATTGAAAGTTGAACCTCTTCAGTGTCGAAGTGTTGTTACTGTTTTACCAAAACCATATTGCAAAGTTTGCTATTACTTAGACCATGTCATGCAATTTGAGATTGATTCTTCTTTTCATCATTATTTTAATACGACAACTACTCATTGAAGGAGCCTCTTAGATTGAGGAATAGTGTAAAGTGACATTTCTCTATGCATGTCATTTTAGTTCTCTACTTCATCGAAAAAAAGGTCTTAAGTTCTCTTTATATTCTTAAAATACAGAAGTCGTTGTTAGTTGCTTGAAAGCTTAAACATTCCTTGCGGATGATGTCATAGGATAATCTACCAATGCTTTACTTTTTTTATCAACAGCTTCTATTCTATCTCCTTTTACCGGTTTTAACCAAACCACCCTTGGTAAAAATATTTTGTATTAGGAGGTAAGGACATTCTTTTGTGTATTGGGAGATAAGGACATATAGTATCTGAAATGTGGATTAGGCTATGGATAGCATTGTACCAATGCAGAATATAAATCGCATTGGTGTATGCCGGGACATCCACTATCTGTATTCAGTGGTGGAAAATGGAGATGATATATAACCAGGGAGTATCCATTTAACCTCTACCTTCAGCAGGGGATGTTCCCAGTTGCTATAAAAAGCACTAATGTATGGTATGCGTTCTCTTGTAACATACAGCCACACACACGCATGCATGCACTCGAACTCGCACACACATGCATGCATGCACGCACTTCACACGCACACACGAAGATTAGCTTTAGGGGAAATATCATTATGACCCCTAAAAAATTCAACTTATTTTACGGTGGGCCCCCACCTTTTATCCCTATCAATCAACGTTAGGGAGTTATAAGTATTTCATTCCACCCCCTCCAAATATAAGTTATATTAAGTAGGCAGCCAACATAAAACTTTGTCAAAACTTTTCATGAATCTTGAATCTATGTTATCTCCCATACTAGAGCAAAATGGCAAACCATGATTTGTATAGCTAACCTTAAATAGTTAGAAAAAGGCTCTGATGATGATATGATGATAATGATGACCCCCTCCAAATGTCCATACCATCCATTTTTATTTTAATACTCCCAAAGTGCCCCAAAGTATTTCTTAAATGACACTCACATCCTTTTTCTCTCTTTCTTATTTATTTTTTATTTCTCAAAAACCCATAAACCAACTTTGTCTTTTGATAAGTAACAAAAGCACATGAGTCACCACCAAAGTGCTCCATGCTACCATTAGAGCTAGTGCAAAGAGAGAGAAGAGGAGCACAAACAGTTAGGATTATGGGTTATGAGAAACAATAAATAAAAAGAGAAGAGAGAGAAAGGACATGAGTGTCATTGGAGAAATACTTTGAGCATTTGATGAGGATCAAACAAAAAAAGGATGGTAGGACATTTGGAGGGGATGGAATGAAATATTTATAAACCTCTTAATTCTACTTAATAGAGATAAAGGATGGGGGTTACCATGAAATAAGTGGGATTTCTGGGGGTGATAACGATGTTTTCCCTTAACTTTGTTTGGGATTACTTGCAAAAAGAATTTGCTTGTGATGTTACTTTTTATCTATTACTTGTTTCGTTGGGGGCAGTACATTCTGGAATTTTCTCTATATAATATTGCTACTATTTGTAAATTAATACCAGTGACTGTTTTTTTTTTATGGTTCTTGTTATTAAGAAAAGAAAAGACAGTGGCTTTCTCAGTCCAACTTAACATTCATCTATGTCTTAAAGTATCCCCTTGATTTCTTTTTGCTGATAACTTTTATTGTTTTGCATGCCTATAGATCATAAGCAATGGTATATTCAAGAGTGCAGTGCATCGTGCTGTTGTCAATGCCAATCGTGCAAGGTTATCAGTAGCAACATTTTATGACCCATCAAAGGAAACGAAAATATGTCCGGCTCCCCATCTCATAACTGATAGCTCGCCTGCTCGATATCTAGACGTGTTGTATGGGGACTATGTATCTACATGGTATAGTAAAGGCCCTGATGGTAAAAGAAATATTGATGCGCTTCTAATTGGGAACCATCTGTAGAGTGAGATCAAGCAATTTGAGGGTGAGCATGATCATAGAATAAACCATGAGAGAGAGAGATGTGAATGTGCTGAGAGCATTTGTGAATGTGACAATCACTCCAATTGACGTGCATAATTTTGTTGCTGGTATGCCACTTGTGAAATGAAAGTTAACTTGCTACTGTTCCATTCTATATCAAAGCTTTACAAAAGGAAAATCCTTGGCTGCCACAGAAAAATTACTCATATGTTTTGCTTGTTACAGTTGAGTTTGTTACGATGATCATATCCATGTATCATTTGCTATGTGTGACATTTGTTAATATGTTTTTTGTTATGATACTATTTTACATTGGAATTTTATATAATGAAACTATTTGCTTTTGATACAAGGTCACAATTACTTATAATCATGTGATGTGAAAATTGGATAGCTTAGGTGTGTCACATACTTCGAAAAAATTCCTTTTGAATTTTGAGTTTGGTCTATGTAATAAATGCAACAATCTAATTTTACATCTAATAATCAAGATTAATTGTGACTACCTTATACCAAAAATAAAAGGTCTCATTGTATATTTTTCCTTTTAGATTTACTATATTGTGAATAAGCAAAAGTGCTGAAAATTAACAACCAAAAAGTGCAAAAGGAAAAAAGATACACTATCAGAACGACAGGGAGATGGAGGGGAAGAGTGGAGAAATTTAATAAATACGATCTTAACCGTTCATTTTGTAAGTAATGACATGGATGGTTATGACTAAAAAGTATTAATCAAATGATAAATTTCAACCTATAATCACTTATTTTTGTAATTAACAGTTGTTTCTAGATTTTCATGTTTGCAAACAGGGAAATTATCAGCAAAAGATTTTCTCGATTTTCACAGATAGGTTCCAAACACAACAATGGTGTCTTCACAGAGAGTCCAACACCTCTCTCTCTTTCACGTCCCTTACCCTTACATTCAAACTACCCCATGAAAGACCCTCTTTCTCTCTAAACCCTAATTTTAATCAAACCCAAGTTTCTGTCATTGACCTTTGCAACTTCGATCCCGAGTTTTCCAGCCTTGTCCAACACCAAGTCAAACAAGTTTGCGAGAAATCGGGAGCTTTTCAAGTAAGAAACCATGGCGTTTCAGAAAATTTGATAGAAGATATGAAGAGGATAGGCATGGGTCTATTTTATTTGAGCTTGGATTATAAGATCAGGTATGCTTGTGATGCTAATTTTGCAGCGAGTGAGGGTTATGGTAGTAGGATGCTGGATTGGAGAGACTATTTTGACCACCATTCCTTGCCAGAGTTCAGGAGAAGTCCGAATAATTGGCCTGATTTTCCAGATGATTACAGGGTAGTTTGATTGATTATTTTTTTGGGTGAATTTTGGTTAGGAAGTTTAGTTGTTTTGTTTATTTGGTCATGAAGCTCTCTCTCTCTCTCTCTCTGTCTCTCTCTCTCTCTCTTTGCTGTCTGTTAATGGAATTCTGGCTCATAAACATGGCTTCAAACTGATTTTTTTCAAACTACCATAACGAGATTTTCTTGAGAGAGAGAGAGAGAGAGAGCATTTTTGTTTTAAAATAATCATCTTAGAGAGGGGTAAAGCTTGGGGTTCAGATCACACTACTAAATCACAAAGTGAGTAATAGCCATTGAATCAATTCAAAAGAGTAAGAAAAAGATATTGAATCAAAGTTACTTGTTCCTCTCTCAACTTTAACACTATATAACCATTATTTCTATGGTACATTCGAGAAAAACGATATTTCTTTAGAGATTTTCAACATAGTTATCGCGAAGAATACTTTTATCCCATCTTGTGCGCAGGGATGTTGCACTAAGATACAGTGATCAGATGAGGTTGCTTGTTCAAAAGCTTTTAAAGATTATATCTGAAAGTCTTGGCTTGCCATCTGCTTATATCCAAGAGGCAATTGGTGAACCTTATCAGAATATTACTATTAAGTTATTATCCCCCATGCCCACAACCAGAACTTACTCTTGGTTTGCAAGCACATTCGTACATGGGTGCAATTACCCTTCTTGTACAAGATGATGTTGGGGGTCTTCAAGTATTAAATGATGTGGATTGGATAACCGTGGAACCTTTACCAGATGCCATTGTTGTGAATCTCAGTGATCAGACTGAGGTAACTTGTTCCTCTGTCCATCCAATTTTGGAGTTTGTTAATACAGTACTGTTATCGACTTTTCTTTTTATTTTTATTTTTATTTTTATTTTTCTTTGTTGTTATATCTTCAATAATGGTACCACAAGTAAAAAACCCTGTATGAATCATGCTTTAATTTCTCTGTCGAAGGCCACAAGACATAGATGTTGCTAAAGTAAAATATTTGAATTTTTTCTTAAACTTATATTTTTTAAAGTGATCTTGAGGAGATAGATGAAAAGTGTCTTACTTGACCCCTCATCAATGTGGGGTGAAGTTAGCAAAACTTGCTAACGGATATTTGATTTGATTAGGAATTCAAATTCCTGTGCATTAGAAAAATAAAAAACAAATTAAAGCAAAACAAAAAGAAAGAGCTAGGTTCACTGAGTAGTGGAAAACTTCTGACACTAATTTGTTTTCACAGCCTGAAGAGAATGCCTAGGGACCATGCTGTCGTTTGGAATGCAGAGTGAGTTTAATTTGAGATGCTTAACAGATCACAAAATGGCTATAAGAAATTTACCAAGTAATATAGCAATCCAAAGTGTGCTTTCATCTGGTCGCAGATGAAGTAAGCTTGAAGTTGAGTCAAATTATCGTCAAAACCAAGCTTGAAGTTGGGACAACCATAGGCCTCGATACTATGAACGGCAGGATTTTGTATGGGCTTTGCTGTGAGGCTCTAGCACGACAAAGGATGTATTTTGGAGGAAATTTATGATGAGGTTCATGGACCAGTGGGTTTAGTGGTTGATCTTCAACGATTGGGAAGTGAGTCGTAAGTTATTTCGACCGATGGGGATCAAATGGTATTATTTGGGTCCTCTGGCAAATTATGCTCTCTCATGGGCGAAGGCTGACCTAGCCCAACCTGATCACTTCCTACCGAGTTTCAGTTTGTCATTTGTTTTTCAGAACCTATTGTTACTCATGGTGAATCCCTTAACAACACCAGATGGTTCAAAATGGACAGCTATATCATGTGCAAAAGTAGTTAATGTGAAGTATTCGATCCAATTTGTCTTGAATTTATGATAGGGGTCACTAAACATACTATACTGTTCTATGGTGTGTATAATTTGTAGGCTTAATAAATATGATTTTGGCTTCGTCTTGGTTCAAGAGGAAGTGAAAATCATTGCTTGTCTGGCCTCTCCTTGAAAAACGTTTTTGTTCTGATCAAGTCTATATAAGGATTCTTTCTTCATGAGTACCAAGGACTCCATCCAATCAGAGAAAACCCAAATTAGCTATGTGGCCATGTCTAACATCCTAGGTTAGCTTTATATAGAATCCTTCCTTGTATACGTCAGTGTGCATCACTCATAATATGCCTTTTGTCAAGGGATACATCTCATCATCAAATGCAGCTTGTTATTAGATTCCATATGCATGCCACATTTTCCTCCTCTATGAATGAGCAAGGATCTTTGATAGAACATAAGTTCAATGCAATTATAAAAAATGGCACTCGAGAATTACATATTTCAAGACACCAAACTCGAGATTGCTATCTCAGCTTATGGTAGAAAATAACTCTCATGTATTTAGCAGTGGCTTAGTAAGCTCATTTATACTGCTCTCACTTACAAGAGTATTACAAACTGGGACTACACCAAATTTTGGACTCCATTGCAGGATATCTGAGTTCTTTAAGAAAGCTGCCTCAAATCACTTTGGACAAACATTGAAGTGTAAGAAAAGGTAATGGAGGGACTACAAACGATATTGTTTTGTGAAGACCATCCACCTAGATGGTCATCAACATAATATTGAAAGTTGAAACTCTTCATTATCAAAGCGTGTTACTGATTTACCAAAACCATATTACTAACTTAGACCATATCGTGCAATTTGAGATCAATTATTCTCTCATCACTCTTTTAGTATGACGACACGCATTGAAGGAACCTCTTAGATTGAGGAATAGTGTGAAGTGGCATTTCTCTGCGTGAGTCATTTTAGACCTCTGCTTTATCCAAAAGGAAAGAGGCCATTTAAGTTCCTTTGTATTCTTAGAATATGGAAGTCTTTGTTATTTCGAAGAAAAAATATCGAAGTCTTTGTTCTCTTGGTTAGTTGCTTAAAAGCTTGAACATTCTTTGTAGATGATGTCATATAATAATCTACCGATGCTTTGGTTTTTTTTATACACGGCTTCCATTCCATTTCTGATTACCGGCTTAAACCAAACAACTTGTACAATGGGCTGTAGATAGCACTGTAACAAGGTAAAACATGCATCCGGGGGATGTCCACTATCTGTATCCAATGGTGCACAATGGAGACTAAATTTAACCAGGGAATAACATGTGCCTTCGGCAGGGGATGTCCCCAGTTGCCTAAAAAGTACTAATGTATGGTATGCTTTCTCTTGTAACACACACACACGAAGATTAACTGTAGGGAAAATATTGTCATGACCCCTAAAGATGAAACTTATTTGATGGTAAGCCCCTAACTTTTATCCCTATCATTTGGAAAGAGAGTGTGGTTCCATCGAGCAGAGCGAGTGGTTTCAGCAGTATGGAGAGAGAGAGCGAGTTGGTTTCAGCGAGCAGAGCGAGTGATATTTAGCAGTATGGAGAGAGAGAAAATGGGGTGCAAGATTGGCAGACTCGAGTGGTTTTAGCAGTATGGAGAAAGAGAGAGAGAGAGGGAGAGAGAGCAAGCTGGTTTCAACGAGCAGAGTGGTTTTTAGTAGTGTGGAGTGAGAGTTAGAGAGAGAGAGACGCTGAACTTTCCGCCCAAGAAGATATCCGGTACAACTCTTTTACCACGAACTTTCAAAAAAATAAAAATAAATAAATAATTCTTTATAGTGTGGTGGTCCATATAAGTATTGTGGTTTTTAGGGACCATCACCTCTTTTGTTAACTTTTCCTTTCTTTTACCGCCACGTAGGCTTTAAACGTTTTATGTGTAATATAATTGTCACACCTCATGTATGAGGTGTAACTTAATAAAATAATATAATAAGATATCTTAAGAATTTAAATAGGAGAGGCGAGGACTCCCATCTTTGAAAATTTTCGAGATCTTTCTCTCTCTAGTCGAAATGCAGTGAGCTCTTTCTTTCTTTAGCTGAATTTTTTATCGGAAGCGCCCTATCAAATATTTTAGGTAAGTGACTTCATTATCTTGAAAAATAATCCGTTCTTTTTAAAAATGAAATGAAATAATTACTTCTGCTTATTTTCATGAATTTTAGGCGCAATAAATTTTATGCGCAAGCGACCTCATTATTTTGAAAATAATCTTTTTAAAAAAATTGTGATATTTTATCTATGTTAGAAATTTTAAATGTTGCAAATTCTTATAAATAAATTTATTTATTTTTCTTGTCTATTGTTAGAAAATTTTAGATACTGTAAAATTATTAGAAATAAATGTGATATTTCTGCTTTTAATAAAATTGTGAGATTTCTTTCTACTGTTTTTTAATATTTAGACATTGAAAAATTCATGTGCAAATGACTGCCTTATTATTTGAAAACTGATATTTTTGCATTTGATTATAGCATTGTTTGTGAAATGTTTATTTGCAAATTGAAATCCCATAAATTGTGATAATTCCGTATTCTTGGATTTCTATAAGAGTTTTCTATACATACTAGATTGGCAATTATGCTAGAATGTCATTACGAACTGCTACCTTTCTAAATTTGAGCCCAAAATATTTGACTGATTATTTTTGAAATGATATTGCTGCTTTCGAATGTTTAAAGAGATTTAGAGATAGTTTAAGTATACAAGTGGACTCATCCGGTTCACCGGTGAGGTATAAGTTGACCTATCCGGTACGCCGGTAGGGATTAAATGGACTCATCCGGTACGTCGGTGAGGTATAAGTGGACCTGCAGGGATTAAGTGGACCTATCTGGGACGTCGATAGGGATTAAGTGAACCCATCAGGACGCTGATGGGGTATATAGGTGACCTACTTGGGACGCCAGTACGGTATTTTGTGGAATCTTTTGAATTATGCACTACCGTTAAAATGTTATACTCATTTCAATTATTCGAATTATACTTAATTATGCATTTTTTAAAGTGAAACTGTTAATGCATTTCTGTTAATAGATATCCTTTTTGAAAATATTGATATCTTTCAACCATGATTATTTTTAAGATTATGATGATCACTTACTGAGTAGCCAAACTCATCAAATTATGGTAAACACTTTTTTCAGGATAACTTCAATTTCATTTTGAGTGCTCGTCAGGATCAACTTTGGAAGATATTGTAGTTGTACTTAAACTTTCTTTTGTTACTTTGTAAGAATTTTCCATTGTAAATTTATCCTATCAAGATATATATATATGTTTTGACTGTCACATCTCAGGAATATCAGTATTATAAATTCTTGGGGCGTGACATTTATGGTATTAGAGCCAGGTTTAAGATTCTTAGGAAATTTAAACATAATGTACTTAAAATCACATTTATTGCGTGTACAGACCGAGACGAAGTCAAGATCCAAAATAGCTGAAGTTAATTTGGAAGGAATTTACAAAGCCTTGGAAAATATGGTTGCTCTAATGCAACATCAGATGGAAGACAACAATTCACCCAGGCAGTCAGTTACGGGAAATGGTGGGAGTAATATCGAATAATTTAATAAATTGAACCCACTTTCTTTTAAGGGTGCTGTAAACCCACTGGAAGTCGAGGGATGGATTATGCAATTGGAGAAAATATTCGAAGTAATGGAATGTCCTGATGATAAGAATGTGGCTTTGGCAGTTTTTATGTTAGAAGGAGAAGCACAACATTGGTGGCGAATGGCAAAAGGAGTATTGATCAAATAAAATAAACCCTTGACTTGGGAGGTATTTCTAAAGGCATTTAATGAACCCATATTTTATTCGAGACCAAAAAGAAATGGAATTTTTGGAATTAATCCAAGGAAACCGAACAGTAGCACAGTACGAGGCCAAGTTTACTGAATTGGCCCGGTTTGCACCACATATGATTAACAATGAAGCCAGAAAGGTGAAAAAAATTTGAATGGGGTCTCAGACCAGTTATTAGAAGCAGAATATCAGTCTTAAAATTGAAAACTTATGTTAAAATCGTGGATCGAGCCCAAATTGTCGAAAAAGATTTCGAACAAGGTATAGCCATTATGAATTTTTAGTCATGCCTTTTGAATTAACCAATGCACCGGCTGTATTTATGGATTTGATGAATCATGTCTTTAAGCCCTTTTTGGATAAATTTATTATGGTATTCATCGATGATATTTTAATTTATTCCAAGAATCAGAAGGAACATGAGCAGCATGTAAGAATGATATTGCAAATATTAAGAGAAAAGAAATTGTATGCCAAACTTAGTAAATGTGAATTTTGGCTTGAACAAGTGACATTTTTACGACATGTCATATCAAAGGAAGGTCTATCAGTTGATCCTTCAAAGGTTGAAGCCGTTGTTAATTGGAAACAACCAAGTAATGTGACTGAAGTTCGAACCTTCTTAAGATTGGCATGATATTACAGAAAATTTGTAAAAGGATTTTCTCGAATCGCAACCCAATTGATTCGATTGATACAGAAAAATCTCAAATTTGAGTGGACAAGTGAATATGAGGAGAGTTTTCAAAAACTAAAAGTTCGATTAACTTCAGCACCTATTTTAACTATTCCTGAGGGGAGTGGGGGATTTGTGATTTATAGCGATGCTTCACATAAAGGCTTGGGCTGTGTATTAATGCAATATGAGAAAGTAGTGGCATATGCATCCAGACAGTTGAAAGAATATGAGAAAAAATATCCAATTCATGACTTGGAGCTGGCTGCAATAGTATTCATTTTGAAAATGTGGAGGCATTATCTATATGGTGAGCAATTCGAAATATACACGGATCATAAGAGCTTAAAATACCTCTTCTCTCAGAATGATTTAAATATGAGGGAGATAAGATGGATGGATTTCTTAAAAGATTATGATTGTACAATTCATTATCATTCAAGAAAAGCTAACGTTGTGGCCGACGCTCTAAGTAAAAAATCTACGGGAGTCTTA